TTTAGCCATTTCTTGAGTTCGGGTTTGAAGTCAAGTTGTGATTTTGATGGGGTTTCCTTGGAGTTCTTGTTCATTGTATTGTCCCCGACAAAACCTAGAAGTTTCGTCAGATTCGGAGCAGTTTCATTTTGGTGGCTTTTGAGATTTTCATCTCATATTGAGGTAGGGGGTGTTTTAGGATTTTGTATGTGTTGTATTGAGTATTTTACATGATTATACAACTTGTTTGCATGCTTTGTATCAAATCTAGAAAATTAGTAATATTTATTTATTTGTATAAGATTTAATTTACAAGGATGTATATAGCTTAGAATTGAATTGTGGCATGATGATAAATTATGCTTTGATATGTTTATTAACATATATTAAATTGAAATTATTTGAATAATAATTGCACTTTTTATTTAATAATTATCTTTTGTAAAAGTTTAATTCTCATGGGTGTACCTTGCATGAAATTAACTTGTGATATGCTTTTAAATTAAGTCTTGGCATGTTCTTTAACATACTTTAATTTGAGAGCATTTGGATAAGTATAAAAATCTATAGATTTTAATTAAAAGGATTAATTAAAATTTATTTAATGGTTCCATTGGCCTAATTAAGTTTTTAACTTGATATTTGTGATGACTAGGACTTGTATACTAGCATATGTTAATTTGGGACCATTTGATATTATTTTAGAATTTAGGGATTTAATTATCATGATTTAATTAAATTTCATTTATTGTTCAAATGGCCTAATTAAGTTTTTGATTTGGTATATGTAATGATCATGCTATGTTGTTTAACATGTATTAGGGACCATTTGATTGAGATTAGAAACTTAGGGAAATTAATTGTTTCATTTAATTAATTTATGTTTCTATTGTATTACTGATTAAATTATGTGGTTGACATTGGTATTATGTTTGAAGCATGATTTTAGACTTGTAATGGATTTATGAGTTTATGTTTTCAATATTAGATTATATTGTTATAGCGTATAACGAATCGCACATTGAAGATTCGACATGTGAGGTTATTATAGCGTGTAAAAAATCGCACCCTGAAGATTCGATATTGTCATCCTATAGTAGTTGTGGATTTAGAGCATGTATTGTGTGGTTTCAACGTACTTATGCATGAAGGTAGTCTCGTGTACTATTTAATACGTATATAAGTTGTTAACTTATTTGTTTTGGAATCACTTGGGACATTGTTACTGTGATATAGCTAGAGTTTGGCTCTGGTGCGGGAGGTATGAGTTCTCCCCGTTTGAGATAGTGCACACTAGGGTAGTCTTCCCAGCTGGTTAATGTCCGGAATAATCGTTTTGATCTTGGTTTACCCCGAGGTGTGATATCCAAGTATTCCATTATTTGATTTCGCATTCAATTCCAAGTTGACAACCAATGTTTAATTGTGACTTGTGGTCTTGGTTATTGGCGATTTAATGTTGTTAAGTACATTTATGCATTATGATTTTAAATGAATTATAGCATATTTTTAATGTTGTCAAGTACATTCATGTTTTATAATCTTTAATGAATCACTGCAAACTTTGTTGTTGTTAAGTACATCTATGCTAAATGTTCAAATGTAGCTTAGGAATAATCTTATAGATTCATTTGGAATATAGACGTCAGGTGGCATGACCCACTTTAGTTATTTTCGCACTTTAGATTTCAAGTTGATAATTGTGAGAATCTATGTCTTGATGCGATGTATTAGAAATTCTAATCATACTAAATTGCTATATTTAGTTGTTTTCGTACTTTAGATTTTAAGTTGATAATTTTAAGAATCTATATCATATTGCTTTGTATAGCATGCTCTTATATTGTTGAAATAGCATGAATGATGTGTTTTATGCTAGAAATATTTTAAGGTAGCTTAAGATGCTCCTTTAGTCTCACATTTGACATAGACGCTAGGTGGCATGTTCCATATGTATTGATTTACATCAATTTAATGAACAGTAAAATGCTAGGCTATGCATGCTCATTTCCTACGAGTAACTTTATGTTACTCACCCACGTAGTAGGGACATTTTTTAGGTACAGGAATCAAGGTTGAGATTCTCATTATGCTTAGATGATTTGTGGACTTGAAGATTTCCATTCTTGTAAAAGTTGGCTAGAAATGCCATTTGTAGCCTTATGTATCAAATGTGTATATTTGATTCTAAACTTGTAATGTGTGCCTAAGTACACTTTTTGATTCTCATTTTGTGTATATGACATGAGGTAAAGGGCCAAACTTCTTTTGGAATTACTTATATGTCATAGATGTTGAATTTGCCTTTAATGAGAATATAAGAAAAATCATGCGTTTTAGTATGCTATTTTACACCGGAGCATGCATTGTATATGAAATTCATCCATTAGCATCCATTAATCATGTATGATGTTTGGTCACGGGCCAAATGGTATTTTGAAACCATTTTATAATTTTGAGTTCCAAGTTTTCATTAATTCCAAGCTTTATTTTTGTCATTTTGGCCGTTGAGGGGTCAAATTTTGCATCGGTAATATTTTTAAGCCGTGAACCATTGTAGCACATCCTAATAGATAAGTTACGTTTGCGCGCATAATCGTTTTCAACAAAAACTTTTTCTTTGGCAAAATGAGCCTCCTATGGACTCATTTTGCATTTTCATTGCATAATCTGGTCTAGGGGAATTTTGGGGTTTTCTTTTGGGAAATAAATTCTAATCTTGATATGGTCACTTAGAAAATGTGATTTTAGGAGGGTTTTCTTTTTCGTGTTTTTCCAGAAATGTCGTCTTAGTACCGGAAATCCCTCACGAAGTTTAACTTTCAGTTTTTCATTTTAGCATCTTTTTGACCCTCATGACCTGATTTCATGGAGGGGCATTTTGGAAATTTCACATTGAGTTTTTCTCATTTTCTTTCACAATGTCGAGTAAAAAACTCGATTTTGAGGGGGTTTTCTTCTTTGTGTTTTTTCAAAAAATGTCATCTTGGCCCTCAAAAACCCATTTTTTCCCAAAAAAACCCCTACTGCCAGGTTCTTGTTGACTTTTAGTACAAGTGTGCGAGTAGTGGCCTTCTCGTAACTGGTTAGATGAGTTGGGACAGAATGCGTGACCTCTATTTTTGCCTCCTAACCGATTAGGAAGGTCTCCTAACCGGTTAAATGACCTTGGGTTGACCATTTTGACATTTTTACCCATTTTTCTTCCGTTAGCCATATTTTCTTCATCCGGATTCCGAATTAAGTGATTCTTGAGTCTAAGTTTATTAATTTTTCATTGTCTTTCCAATGGTGTGTACGGTGGCACCCACTTTTATATTGAAAATGACTATTTTGACCTTAGGTTCATTCTTATCGGTTTTTGAAACGCCGTTTCCGCATTTATTTTCTTTGGGTTCCGTGACCTCGTTGAGGGTCACATTGGTGTCTTAGAAACGTGTTGTATCTCTAAATACCGTTGTTTCATCTTTTGCTTCTGCATTCTGAATTCGTTATTGAATCTACGTTCGGTTCAGCATATGACGCACTGGCTTAAAAATCAGGGCCGTCACATTATTCGTCTTCAATATCTTTTAATTTTGAAAATACTAGTGATATTGCATCTCAAGTGACTCTCTGAATGGTGTAGTGAGAGAAGTGGAGGATATGTTTGGAGGGTAAATTTGTCCTAGTAAATTATTTCATAATTTTTTAGTGAAAGTTTATAAATTTGACAAAATTATTCTGGAAAAATCACTTATTAGCAATTAAGATTTTAATTGAATGACTATTCATCATTTATATTACTTTAGAGTAATTTTTTGGCAAATAAAATATAAAGTTTTTCAAAATAAATAAATAATCTTACACATATATACTACACAAAGGCACACTACTCTGAAATATTATGAAGTGCATTTTATAACAATGTTGGTTTAAATAAACAAATAAATAAAAATTAAAAAAAGTTTATAGTCAAAGATCCGCGTAAACAAGAGTTGGACCCAATGACGTTCAAACCTTTTACACGTTTATGAAAAGCTTGTGGTACAAAATCCAATGAGAGGGGACAAACAGCCGCTACCTCCAACCCATCCCCAGTAGCATGGCCCCAACCTTCTCCCTTATTCGTTCACCTAAACTTGCCCCTACCATTTTACCTTTTCATGACCAATACCCCCCTACAAACTTTTATTACGTGCAGTCAACTCCTTCACCATCTCTCTATCTCTATCTCTCTCTCTCTATGTATATATATATACATATATACACACACAATAATTCCTGAATACTACAGTATTAGTTTTACATAATTTAATTAATTAATTGATTCAAAAGTTTTAGATATTTATATGGAAAGACTTGTTGGGTAGGATCATATATTCCAACCTCATAGTTTTTGAAATATCAAAAGTTATCCAAATGCGTTATAGTGTATTTTTTTTCCCGTAAAATACAGATTTTATATATAATTTGATTCCTATTTGTATGAATTGATAAACCAATTTCTTTTTATAGGATTGTTCATCTTTACAGATCACAAATTATGTGTCATTAAATATATCCTACCTCTTTGAATTTTCATCTTACTCTTTAAACTTCCGTGTCACTCATATTTTCTCTAAAATTCAGAAAATATTCCATCAAAATTTAGTGATAGCTCTTTTTATTGGTTGCGTAACTTCTGATGTGTGTGTGTATATATATATATATATATATATAAGTCCTTCTTATCCTTTTTAGCTTTCATTGTTACTACATCTAATGACAGCGCATGTCACAACTAAATGTTTTGACTAGTATGACAATTTTTTAATCTTTAACTGCGAAAAGAATCCAAGATGATTTTTTTCACACGGATGTTTATTTATTATACCTTGTTCCAAGTACATGTAGGGACATATGTGGGCGCAACTTTTTCATTTTGATAATATTTATATTGAATAATATAACAAACATTAAAATATCGAAGGTGACAATATATATTTCTGTTTTTTACTCTCTCTCTCTCTCTGCCTTTCTCCTGTGTATATAATACCACGTTCTCTAGCTCCTTCAAACTTGAGAAACTCAAAACCCTTTTTATTTCTGGTTCCATAAATAAGTTTCAGTCTGATATATATATACATACATATATATATATAACTTGAGAAATTAATCCAGGATGGTTGTACCTTCTCCGACTCCAAATCCGATATGGAGCAAAAAGGCGAGAACGGCGCCGCTGGGAATTCCGACTATTGATTTCTCTGTTGAGAGGTCTGTATTGTCCAAACAAATTGTGAAGGCATGTGAAGAATATGGTTTCTTCAAGGTGGTGAACCATGGTGTAGCAAAGGAGATAATTACAAGAATGGAAAAGGAAGGGTTCAATTTCTTCTCGAAACCGGCCTCGCAGAAACAACAAGCTGGTCCACCCAATCCTTTTGGTTATGGTTGCAAGAACATCGGCTTCAATGGCGACACTGGTGAGCTTGAGTACCTTCTCCTTCAGACCAACCCTCTCTCCATTTATGAGAGATCTAAAACCATCTCCAATCACCCTGCCAAGTTCAGGTAAGTCATATATAATATACATCTCTAGCTCCCCCTCCTTTCAATGCTACTACTACTATATATTGTATTTTTGTGTGTGTCTATATATACACATTTTATGAGAGAGTATTTATTATGTGGCATCCCCAATTAAATAGACAATCAAATAAAATTTCTCATTTTTGGTGTGTGTAACATAAAATAAAAGTTTTCATGACCGTGAATTATATTGTATACTTTCTCCATTAATAATAGAATTATAATATGTTGAGTTAACCCTCATGCCATTTTTAATGCATGTCAGTTTCAAACTTTGAACTGGTGAATTAGCTTCAATTTTTATTTTTAATTTTTTCTAGACCAAAAATTCACACAACCATTTATTTTATTTTAATAAAAATTGAAACATCCACCTTCAACTTTATAACACAGATTTGATATTCAAAGTTTTGATAACGATATGTTATGTATTGAGAACGCAAGAATGATGATTCGACAATGACAACCTATTTCAGATTTGACTGAGTCAGATAATGTACACAACAAGGCACTTACCTAATATATATATATATATATATATATATATATATATATATATATATATATATATATATATATATATATATATATATGTCAACGAAAAAAAATTGTGCCTTTCTGATTTTTAAAACTTTCATAAAAAATAAATTAAATTAAATTAAAAACACAAAAAGAGAATTTTGGTTGTGCTGGTGAAAAGTATTTTTCTTGTGTTGATGCCTAGTCTCCTAGAAAGAGACATTATATTCTCTTTAGGAAAGAAATAAATACTAAATATTAGAAAGTAAAACATATATATATATATATATATATATATATATATATATATATAGATAGATAGATAGATAGATAGGTGCGTGTTAAAATTGATTTTTCCTATAGTTCGATGTTGTAAATGGAAGGGTGTGCATATCAAAGTAATAAGATGTATGTTTGTGCTCCATTTAAGGAACGGTAATAGACTAGGTATAGCTTATTGTCGATTGTTTATTACCACGTCTTTGACCTATAGCTCCTATAAGGTAAGAGTTCACACTTAATTACTTTTTAGGGTTTTTACATAAAAATCTGAGTTCGTTGGGGTTTACTGGCCAATGAAATCATGGAATCTTAGGGTTTGGTCAAATAGTCACACGTGCAATCGTAAAACGCGGAATTTCAATTACTTGGTCAAATAGCAACTTTAGAAAACGTAATTTAAAAATATTTATATTTTAATAACATTTAAATGTCATTTTGACTAGGGTGCAGTTGTCATCAAATCATATTATGTCTTATTAGCGCAATTTTTAAATAGTGTTAAAGGTACATGGAACTGATCTATCTCAGTTCTTGAATTATGTAATCGTAAAATTGAACATGGTTTTATTTTTATTTTTTTATAATAAAATTCAAAGCATTTAACCAAAACTTTTTTTGTTAAAGAAAGTTACAATGATGATTTCATTTTGGAAACAAAAGCTAAAAACTGAAATATCAAGTGAGCTCCTAGTGGGTCCATATACGGCTCCATGTCCTTATTAGAGATAGGGTTATATACTAGTTCTTCAATTTTGTAATTATTATGAAATTATATTTGAAATCGGTAGCTTCACTTGTACCATAAATGTGATTTCAAAGATGCACTGACCAGACACCCTATAATGACTTTAAAGAATAAAACTGAAATATGGGTCATAAAAAAATCAATAGCTTCAATATATAGACATATATCAAATCAAATCAAATCTAAAGAAATTGAACACTCCATGTGTCCGTATGTGTATTACCAAATTGGATCGATCTGTAATGCTGGTGTTTTTTTTACCAAATAAAGAGTTTTTTCAAAACTGGTGATGAGTGATGTTGTTGATATACATATATATATATAATATATACACACACAGTCACACACACATATAGTGTACTTGTAATAATATTGTTTTGTATAATTTCGGGCAGTTGTGTTGTGAATGATTACATACAAGCAGTAAGGAATCTGGCATGTGACATTCTTGATCTAGCGGCTGAGGGCCTTCGGTTGACAGACAGATCAGTGTTCAGTAAGCTCATCGGAGACGTCCAAAGTGACTCTTGCTTCAGGATCAATCACTATCCACCATCATCAAAACTACTCAATTCAGGTATCGGATTTGGAGAGCATTCTGACCCTCAGATCTTGACCATACTAAGATCCAACGATGTGGGTGGCCTCCAACTTTGTCTCAGTGATGGCTCTTGGATCCCGGTCCCTCCTGATCCCACTGACTTTTGTGTCTTCGTAGGCGATGCTTTGCAGGTAATCATATTCAACGGTCATTTATGCTTGATGTGATCATTTTCGTAATTCTGACACATTTTTTAAAATTTGTACCTAATGAAGGCGATGACAAATGAAAGGTTTATGAGCGCGAGACACCGGGCAATGGCAAATTCTTGTGTTAAGGCAAGAATGTCGATGATGTATTTTGGGGCTCCACCTCTTCATGGAAGGGTATCTCCTCTTCCACAGATGGTCTCACCATGCAACCCTAGCATGTACAAACCTTTCACTTGGGGAGAATACAAGAAAGCTGCATATTCTTTGCGTTTGGGAGATCGTCGTCTTGACCTCTTCAAGATCCATACAAGCCACGATAATATAATTAATTAGGAATATTTTTTCTTTACTCCATGAATCAGTTCTTTTAATATTGTGATCTTATTATATATTAGGCATAGAAATCAGATGGAAGAAGCATTACTTTTGTGTATGTGTATATATCTTTGTTACATATTAATTAGTTAGTTGAAGGATGATTATTGTATTTCCTTTAAAGGGGAAATTTTTGTTTACGGTGTTCCCCTGCAAAAATTAATACATGTATGACTCGTCCCAGTTTCGTCAATAAAAAATTGAAATTCTTTATTTCAATTTGTATTTTAATATTTCAGGGGTGAATTCCATTAAAATAAATTATTTTTTTGTTTCTTTAATTACTTGCCATTATCTTTTAAGTCACACAATTTTTCTCAACAGATGTTGTTCTCACGTTCCAAGCGAGTTCCCGTTCTCACGATCCGTGCATGTTCTCGTTTAAATTTTCATTATTTATGATTTAATTATGTCGCTCTCACGTTTTTACTTTCAAATTCACTCTCACTCTCGCTCCTGCTTCATGTGACTTAGGCCTTATGTATATGTTCAACTTTTTATTTATATTTTAGGTAAGTGGGTAAGTTGCATGTATGTGTAAAAATATGTGAAATCTACAAAAACAGAGCTTAACCTTAGACCAAGAGAAGAAGTAGATCGAGTCAAGAGACCATAGGTGTTCATTGATACGATTGGTCTACCAACGAAAATTACATAATAACCATAATCATAGCACTGATCTTCATTTATTAATTGGTTTTGGCGTCACAATCAAATGTCCAATTAAGCTTACAACTTTATGTGCATTTGATGTATATATAATATTAAACGTATGATGAACCAAAAGCAATTCAACATAGAACACCTAATTAATTCCTAATCTCTTAAAAGCGACATACACATACATACACCAATGAACTTAATAAACACTCAAGTACTCAAGTGTCTCATTAGGAATAGAATTTAAAATTTAAAAAAAAAAAAGGAAAAAAGAAAAAGAAATAAGAATAAGGTACTTGTTATTGGATCATTCTTTTGTTAAAAAAAAAATTTAAGCAAATTGAATAAATAAGAAAAGTGTACAATAAAAGGCCTTCGGCCAAAACAGCCCGAAAAGGGCATACAAGCCCCTACCATCCCTTAGCTATGTATAGCTAACCCAAAAGTTACAGTCCAACCAAAGGAACAAAAGAGCTTCAGATAACAATTGAAGCCGTTACATGAAGGACTTAGTACAGATCCAGTGAGCAAACCCTACGGTGACCAAGAGATCGTTCCTCTCTCCATACTCAGTCCGGTGGTCTCGGAGGAGGTTTGCAACATGAGGGGGAGAGATTCTAGCTGTTCAGAATCGATCTAGAAGCCCAACATTCCTTTAGGCAACCCAAGCAAAAAAGGAAAGTAATTGAATTGCATACTTTAGCTAGAACCCTACGTACTATGTTATTGGATCATTCTGATAGTGCCCTTTAACAAACCACAAAAATGTCCATTTTATACTTCAACATAGCTTCCGTCGGGGAAGTAATTCTTATTTCGTTGGTCACTCCATTTAAAGAAAATGAGTGACACCAATTAAGCACTACGATTTTAAAAGAAATTACAATCAACAACTCATTATCTCAACTGGTAATAGTATGTGAAATTACGTACATTCTATTGAAAACAATTGATGACAGTTAATCATAAATCACAATTTGATGAATCGAATGCGATTACTTACATTTTCTCATCTTTAATTATAATTTTCCAAAAACAATTTTTAAGAAATTATTAACAAATATATATATACTAGTAAATTCCACGTACATGCATGTGATGAAATAATCATTGAAAAATGTATTTTAGATTTTAATAGTATTATATTTAATTTCTTTTAACATCTATTGATTTATTATTTATTTACATTTTAATATCTATTTTTTTTCATCAATATCTATTATTTAATCCACATTTCTACTATGTTTGGTAAACTAATATAAACTAATTTGTTTATAAATACTAATAATTATATGTTTATGATAAACTTTTTACTTCACTAACAAATATACTAATTAGTTTATAACCTAAACACAGCTGAACTAACAAAGATATAAATGTCAAAAAAGAATTTAATTTTCTGTATAGTTTTTTTGATGAATAATTAATTCAGGAGTTTTCTCTAAATTTCTTACTCTGACTCATCACTTTTATACTCTTAAAGAGTTCTAAAAATAAAAAAATTAAATTTTATTTGTATGTTGTCAATGTTGTTTCAATATTATACTTTGTTGTACAACAATAATATATTAATTTAAGTTTTTTATTTTCTGTCTTTGTACAATTTAAAATCTTTGTTTAATTCTTTTATACAAAAGAGAACACTTTGTACTTTTATTATAAATGGTTGTTATAAGAATTCAAGATGAAACTTGAAAGCACCAAGTACGTATATATAGGTATATACAATAAGTGCACTCAAAAGGCTATTTTTTGTCATGTGCTAAATCATCAAAAACAACACAAACTTCCTATCACAAATTTTGACAAATAAATGTATAATAAAAATGAGTTGATCACTTCTAAGTTAAAAAATGTGAGATATATATATATATAAACTTTCTATCACAAATTTTGACAAATAAATGTATAATAAAAGGCTATTTTTTGTCATGTTCTAAATCATCAAAAACAACACAAACTTTCTATCACAAATTTTGACAAATAAATGTAGATCTCACATTTTTTAACTTAGAAGTGATCAACTCATTTTTATTATACATTTATTTGTCGAAATTTGTGATAGAAAGTTTGTGTTGTTTTTGATGATTTAGCACATGACAAAAAATAGCCTTTTGAGTTGATCACTTCTAAGTTAAAAAATGTGAGATATATATATATATATATATATATATATATATATATATATATATATATATATATATATATTTGGGGAGATTGTGATATATATATTTTGTAATTGGTTAATTTAGTTGTCAAAACAAGTCTGATCAAGTTGTAAAATGGTCGTCGTCCTAGCATAAGCGTAAGAGTGTGCATTAAGGCGAGAGCCAAGTTTTACATTTATAAAAGTCACTACTACCTTCACTAAAAATATAGTTAGGGTGAGTAGGGATCGTCCCAAGGGATTGGAGTCAAATTTGGTTGTGGAATCACTATTAGGGTTAGTAGGTCGAGTGATCAAACAAACAGTTGGTTGGTTGATTAAATTAGAGAACAAATTAAACTAAATAATTGAATGCAATAAAGAGTAAGTAAGAGAGAGATATCTTGGGGTTTAGAGGTTACCACAAAACAATACTTTTCTACACCCTTAACAAGTGACTAATGAGGGAAATGTGTGTTGTAATATTGATGTGTGTGTGTGTGTTTGGTTGATTCAATTAGCAAGGATGACCAATTAAGTATATATTATCTAAGCAACATGTGAAAAGCACAATATATCTAACAATTAAGTATATATTGTCTAAGTAGCATGTGAAAAGCACAATATATCTAGCAAGTCATTAATCATTTTAATAAGCTCACAAGCCAAATACACCATAAGGTTAGAGACATATACTACTTGCATTCAAAAGTATGGAACATCAAACAACAAGCATGGATTGTCCTCCTATCTAACAACTATACTACCACTACACTACAATTAAGCTAATGACATGAAATTAAACTAATTAAACTAAGGGAGAGGCACAATCCATCAAGAAATGAGCATGAACCATCAAGAAAATTACAAGAGCATTCCATTAAGCACTATGTTTTGACAATCTCTAGATCTATGGCATTAATACACATAGACATGCATCAATAATACAAGAAATAGAGACAAACACATGAACATCTATTCTAGCATACATAGACATATGGATATAATGAAATGATCAATTGGAAACATTAAACCACATAAATCATTGAATAAACAAGATCTATATATATAAAAGTGCCAAAACATGTATTACAACACTAATCCCTCAATAATTCACAAAATCAAGATGTAGAAAGCATGCTTAGGGCTAACTCTAGCCCCAAGAGGATGTCTAGCCACTCATGGTAATGCTTCTCCAACCCTCAAGGGCAAACTCCATGGAAGAAATCTACTCCTCGGTTGACGAAGAGCTCCCAAGCTTGTGTCTTTAGCCTTATCCTCCTTTCTTCCTCCCTAAGAATAGCCTCTATTGTGATAGATGGATCCTCCTCAAAAAGTGTATCATATTCTATATATAGGTAAGTCAAGTGACACACAAAATGAGCTGGGGTCGTGCACAAAATATTCCCCAATGATTGGATAGGGACAGCTTTCAATGAGCTGGAAATTTAACATTTTTGCACTGGAGGAAGTTCGATCGATCGAACCTTGGACTTGGATCGATCGAACATAGCTGAGATCTATCGAACTGAAGTTGGATCGATCCTCAATGGTGGCGCATTTTTGGATAAAAACAAATCTGAGATATTTCGAAGATATTTTTTGGGAAAAGGACAAAAGTGGTTGGTAGGGTGGTACAACTAGATAAGATCAATTATTTGGATAAGGACAAGGTAGTTCGATCGATCTAAGAATGATGTTGGATCGATCGAACTTTTGAGATATCTGAAAATGTCATCATGGCTCAGATCCATCTTGAAGTGCTGAGATCGGTGGCTTCCCGAGCGTGCGCACAAAATAATGCACAACACTTTGAGTTTGGAAATTAGTATCAAGTGGGCTCCATAATTTAAATTTATAAACCGTTTAACACCTATACTATGTAGTATGAGTGAGAAGGGATCGTCCCAAGGGATTGAGGGTCGTACTAGGTTGAGGAATCAAGATTAGGGTTAGTAGGTCGAGTGATCAAAATAGTGGTTAGTGGTTGAATTACACTAAGATGCAATTTAAATTAAAGTAAACAATAATGCAATTAAGAGAATGAAAGAGAGAGAAAGAGAGAGAGATCTTGGGGTTTAGAGATCACCACCAAGCATAGTTTTTCTACACCTTTAATGAATGATTAATGAGAGGAAAAACATGTATTGTAGCAAAGAGTGTGTGTGTGGTTGTTTCAATAAGAATGGATGACAAATTAAGCATATATTGTCTAAACAACATGATGGATAGCGCAACATATCAAATTAAGCCATTAATCCATTCTTTAAGCTCACAATCCAAACACATCACAAGGTTAGAGATATATGTTACTTGCTTTCATAAGTATGGAGCATCAACAACAAGCATGAATTATCCTCCCATTTAACAAC